CCCAAGTGTATAAAATAGCCACATAGCCCAGGAGAAATGCAGTTTAGATTAAAGAATGTGACTAGGAACCACGGTTCCTGCGTCTTCTTGAACCTCCTGCGCTTCATGGCACGACCTTGGGAACATGTGTCACCTCTCCTAGGCCTCAGTTTCCCCAGCAGGGAAAGACTGGGGGGAGGTAATAAAGCTGAAATGCCCTCATGGGGCCCTTGGATGACTGAAGTAATGTTTGCTGGGTGCCTCAAAGATGTCGGGTGCTACATAAACAATAATCAGTGTTATTAAAGCCTCCCTGGCAGTCCCGTGTGCTGCAGAGGTCTCCAGGCTCCTGCTTCCCAGGTTCAGAGGAGGAGACCGTCAGTTTTACGCTGCTGCTGTACAGCTGCAGGGACACGATGATCCGTGCGGACGCACTTTTCCGTCTAGTTTTCACCTCCTCTGAGGGAACTGATGGACTAATGCCTTTGATTCATGTGAAAGCAAAGAGGGAGGGCGATCTGCTTGTGGCCCAGGAGCAGTGCTGGAAATTCAGATTAAATTCCGAATTAAATTCCCCTTCCGAATTTCAGGTTAAATGGTGAGGTTTTTATCGTCACTCTCTCAATGCAATAGGTCCTGTTCCAGCACTCGGATTTTGCAGGGGAGCTTTGGTGAGGCGCAGCAGCTGAGGGCCGTGCGAGAAGGCTGCCCTGCCGCCTCGCGGGATGGCAAGCTGGGTTCGCTCGCGCCCGCGTCGATGGCAGCGAGCCATCTTGGAGAGGACTTTTTACAAGAGCCTGTAGTGACAGGACAAGGGGTAATGGGTACAAATTGAAAGTCGGGAGGTTTAGATTGGATATCAGGAAGAAATTCTTCCTGGAGAGGGTGGGGAGGCACTGGGACAGGTTGCCCAGAGAAGCTGTGGATGCCCCATCCCTGGGAGTGTCCAAGGCCAGGCTGGATGAGGCTTGGAGCAACCTGGTCTAGTGGAAGGTGTCCCTGCCCATGGCAGGGGGGTTGGAACTAGATGATCTTTAAGGTCCCTTCCAATCCAAACCATTCTATGATTCTATGATACCTTACAAGGCCGAAACACCCCCCTGTAGCGTGTTCAGGGGCTCTGAGGAGTTGACCCTGTCTTTTGGATTCTGAGAAGCGTCTTTGGCTGCGTATGAAGACGTAGCCCGGTTGGAGGCAGGACGTGAAGCCCTTTACATACCCTCTGGGTTCTGAGCTGGTTAAAGCACTGGCAAGCCCTTGTAATTATAACTGCGTAAGCCTAAAGCTGGAAAAGCTTGATCGCAAAGCCTAGGGGTAGCGGCATCCCCTTAGGTGCTGGTGTGGATGGTCTGGGTCATGGAGCCAGGAATGCTGTGGGTCTGTTCAGACGAAACTCGCCCCTTCTTTGCCTCTGTCCTCTGAGGCTGCTCCAAGCTCCATCACTCCCAAGGGCAAGTGTATGTCCTCTGCGCTCACCGATTGCTGGCACCCAGGCACAGCCCCATCCTAGGGTTTGTTTCCTTGCTGCCATCAACCCCTGGGAATCTTCCCTCTGACTCTGGTATGGATGCAGCCCATCCGAGAGCAAAGAGGTTGATTCTGTGATTCTAACGGCAGGGAATGAGGTCCTCCTTGCTTCATTCCAGATGTTCCTGCATCATTTCAGGGAGGTCCCCATCCTGCCATGTGCATCGCCCTGGGACCTTTTCACAGCCTGGGCCTAGATTAGCAGTGTTGTGAAGAGGCTACTGTTTGGACACAGAGGAAAAATGAGTAGTCTGTTCCCTGGTGTTATAAGCCGATGGGTTGCGTGGCTCCCTGAATGCTTGGCTTTATGAGTATGCACGCCCTTATGGCATAGCCCTCCCAACGCCCGCTCCTCCCGCAGAGCGAGGCTGCCGGTTTCCGAGGGCGAGAGCCATGGGTCGTCTTCCCTAAACAAGCGATAACCGGTTTTGAGGAGGTGAAAGAACTCGCAGTTTACTCTCACGAAACTCCTTACGATTTACGTTGTGGGAAGGCGGTTATTGATGTACATTTATGCATAGTGCCACGGGGTAGGTAGCTCTTGATATCAGATGCGGGCTGGCTTTGGTTTTACCGTGCTTGGCCCGTGGGGGGGTTTGATCTCAGTAAGATCAGGATTAAGTCAGATGCTTATTAAAATAATTGCCTAAAATGATTTCTCAAATCAAACTTTCCCAACACCTCCTCCCAAACTTCTTCGAAGAGGGATGAAGGAAATAATCTGCAGAGGATTTTTTTTTTTCTTTTCCCCCTTAAACCACTGCAAGAGCATTAATGCAGCTCAAATCCTTGATTTCTCGTGAATAAATATCGCTATTCTTGCAGAAAACTCTGGCTTCAGTCAGAGGTGCAGCAGAAAGGCTTGCAGCGCCGAGATCCCGATTCCCAGCCATGGCCAGCGAGGTAGCGAAATCCCGGCCGGCGCTTTGGAAAGCGGGAGTGACCGAAATGCAGGGTCGGGAGCGGTGAGCGCCGGGGTCCCTCTCCATCGCGCTGCAGAGCACCGGGTTCGGGCATCGGCACGAAGTGACAGTTGTTCCTGTTATAATTGCCTGGCCAATAATAATTATCTTCAGATGTCTGCTGACGAGGGGCTCGCCAATGGGGAGGCAGGAGGCCTGTGCTGACTGCGCTGAGATTTATCTGGGCGAGGTGACGTCAAGGCGAGGGCTTGCCCAAAATCACAGAAACTTTTCCTCTGCTGCTGTGCCGGCTTGCTGCAGAGCTCCGGCCATCCCCGCTCCTGCAGCCGCTGCCCCTCGCTCCCCTCTCTTTTGCCTCTCCTCCCTTTTCCCATCTCCTGGTGGTTTTTTTTTTTTTTTTCCCCATGTTTAACCCCCTGGCAGCCTGCTGGCAGGGAGTAGCGGGAGCAGCGTCGGGGCGGAGGAGGATGAGCAGGATGGAAGCGGAGCTGTTATTCCCCAGAGATGCTGTGGGGCTGTTTTGGTCCATGAGCTTTCAGCAGAGAAGTGCTGTGTAAGGGCAGCTGGGCTTTTTGTTTCGGCTTTAAAGGGCACTGGGAACTCAGGCTGAATTCAGAAATTAACTTTGTGAACTTCAGACGAGTATAAATGTTTGTGTATTTAAAAAAAAAAAAAAAACAAACATCCTGGTACAGGAAGTTTTTTTAACCTTTTGTTACCTGAAACTTGCATGGGGAGAGACAGCAAATGCAGCTGATGCTGAGAGAGATTTATGCTTTGTGATGCTCTTTCTGGTCAAAACTGGAGGTAGACATGGGAGAGGAGAGGGTGAGACAATTTGGATTTGAAAATGCCCTTGCCTTTTAATAATTCACACAAACACCATGGTCCTGGACAGGTTTGTTTCCTAAATGTAGAACAAGCTTCTCTCATCCACTTAAGCTGCTCTTACCTCATGCAGAAATCAGGAGTGAGAGGTTGTGTGTGTAGCTCTCCAGGCATACGTGCGTGGCAGCCAAAAACTGATGTAAATTACTCTTTTCTGTGGGTTTTTTTTCTTTGCTAAATGCCAGTGAAAGCTGTGGAGGGGACGCTGCAGTCACCCTGTCCTTCCCTCTGTGCCACGGCAAGGACTTAAAGGGAAGATCTTGCTGTAGCACAGAGAGCTTTACTTGAGCAAAATTCAGCGCACTCAAGAATTTTGCCTCCCTCCACGTTTCACTTCCCAGAGGGGCTTTTTGCTGCTGTTTTGTGCAAACTGGCTGGAAAGCTGCGGGGCCAGCAGTGCACGGGAGCCTTGGTGCTGCAGAGATTAGAGGATGCCCTCTCCTCTGCCTTTCCTCCATCCGGCTGGTCTTCCTGAGCTCCATGGAAATACAGGGATGGAGTCTGCAGGGAATAACAGTTCATGTCTTTTCAGAGTTCAGGTATTTTCTGTCCGTGTGTGTGCATGGGGAAAAAACAAACATAAAGAAAAAGATGATGGTGGCACAAAAATGTCATCGTGAAGGTAAATTGGTATCTTCTGGATTCATCCTGCTGCTGAAACAGGCATTGGCTTTCTGCTCACCCTGTCCCTAGAGCATACATACATCTCCTATCATGTTGTTTCATTAATTTTTAAGCCTCTGAGAGTGAAGACCTCTATTCTGCTTGGTGAAACACCATGTGCTTGTGGGAATAATAAATTTGTAAGAAGGGAGCAAGAAGTAATTTAGGACTTGCCATCATTGTCAAAGGTGAATATGGACATTCAAGAGCATTTTGACTTGGGTTGAGGTGTAGGATATTGAATTATTTTGGCACTTTTTCAAAAGTAGCTTATATTCTTCCAGTACCTGAAGGGGATGACAAGAAAGCTGGGGGGAACATTTTCCCAGGGCAGGGTGTGACAGGACAAGAGGTAATGGGTTTGAACTGAAAGAAGGAGATTGAGATTGGACATCAGGAAGGAATTGTTCCCTGGAGAGGGACTGGGACAGGTGTCCCAGAGAAGCTGTGGATGCCCCATCCCTGGAAGTGTCCAAGGCCAGGCTGGATGAGGCTTGGAGCAACCTGGTCTAGTGGAAGGTGTCCCTGCCCATGGCAGGGGGGTTGGAACTGGGTGGGCTTTAAGGTCCCTTCCAACCCAAACCAGTCTGGGATTCTATGATTCCACGTAACCATTTGCTGGGAAAGCAGAGGGGTGTTTGTGCAAACACAGGCTGAGTAGCAAGTGGTGGCCTGAACTCCCGGAGTTGGGGTGCTTTTTATGGGTGGGCAAAGTAGCAACAGGAAGGAGGTGACTTCCCCTGGGGTCAGGGTGCGGAGTGCCTGGCCATCTCCTTCCTTCTCTAAACTCCCTGTCCCTGTTGAATTGCAAGGAAATTTTTCCCTGGAAGATGGTATTTCACCTCTGTTTCTGCTAGCTTGTGAATGCAGGCCCCCATGCAGAGGCAGACAGACCTTTATCCTTCTCTGGCTGAATCCACGTGGAGTCGGTGGGAGGAGGCACTCTGCGCCCTGGTCCAGCTCTCCAGCCTGCCGAGCCGTAGCTTGACGAGGATTTTGCATGAGGGATGTTGGGGCGACATGGGGTGGATATCCTTTCGGTTACGTGGGAGCATCTCTGCTTCACCGGTCCTGGCAAAAGCACATCCTGAAATCAACTTCCACAGGCTCTTCTGCATCCCGGGCGGAGCAGCCGGAGCGCATCACGGACCTTTGGCCAAGGTCATTGCGAGGACAGTATTTGGTACGGCGGCACGTGAGTTGCTGTTGGCTGTTTCGCCGTCAGGTTGGACATGCCTGTGGGCTTTTCCTAGGCACTGCGGCGGGATTACTTTCCCGATCGCCGGTTTTTAATCATACCTTGGTGACGAGCCACTGCTATTTAGCAAGGTGTGTTTTTTCCTTCTGTTAGTTTGTTTGAGGTGGACGCTATGCATGTCCCTTGCAACCTAGAAATCTTCAAAAAATGTCTTCCTTAAAAGCAGTGAATAAAACTTCCATGGGAACAGCTTCCATGTGCTCCTCCGCCCTCAAGCGGGCACAGTCTGGTTGTCCATGATCTGGTACGAGACGCTCCATAGACAGGCTGCTGTAATTCCTAGTCTTCTGATGAGCTCAGTGCTGGTAGATGTTGACTTTTAATGGGGCTCAGAGTAAGCCGGAGACCACTGCGTGTAACTCATCGTGTGATTAGGGGACTCGATTACTCCGTTTCCTGCAACGCCTCACATAACGTGATCCTTAAAGTCAGATGTGGTCACGTTCCTGTTGGTCTCGGCACAGAAAGGTCTGGCTGAGTATTTAACTCTCAGGTTTTGCCGCTGGTCTCTTCTCCGTGGCCATCTGTAGTGGAACTGGGGATAAAAGGATGGTTTGTACTTTTTTCTTCCTTTGCTCAGTCTCTGCCCGTTGCTCAAGGGTCTATCCCAGCCCTTTTCAGCTGACTGTGATCTGCTGACTCTTAGTGATAAATATAAGGATAAAAAGGAATTTTTTTAAGGGAAAGGCTGTAGCATTTATGTTTTCATAACTGTGTTAGCACGGGCAGAGCTGTTGTCAGTATAGAGCTGGGAATGCTGGAGGGTACAGAGCTGGGGTTTCTTTTTGCTTGGAGGGTAAACTTTTATTAGTTTATGGAGCTTTCCGCAGCTTTGAGAATGATTTTGTAGTACAAGGTCCACTGGGACTGCAGAAGGGAAGGTGTCTTAACCCTCTTTTTGGAAAGGCAAATCCACAGAGAGTTTAGATGCTTTTTCTTTTAATGAAATGAGTGGGGGTTAAAACATAGTATTATTTTAAAATGTAAATTAGCGTCAACTATAACGTAAAATAAGCTTTTCACTGCCTCACACTACATCAGCATGTGAGCTATTTCTGCATCCACGTTACCCCCTTACTGCTACCCAGTACTTTTTTACTGGCCAACTGTTTTGTCAGTCCACTTCAGCCTTGTCCTGGGTTGGAGCATTATAGAATCATGGAATGGTTGGAGTGGGAAGGGACCTTAAAGCCCACCCAGTCCCACCCCCTCCCATGGGCAGGGACACCTTCCACCAGACCAGGTTGCTCCAAACCTCATCCAGCCTGGCCTTGGACACTTCCAGGGATGGGGCATCCACACCTTCTCTGGGCAACCTGTCCCAGTGCCTCCCCACCGTTTCCGGGAAGAATTCCTTCCTGATGTTCTATCTCAATCTTCCTTCTTTCAGTTTAAACCCTTGTCCTGTCACACCCCGTTTATTCTGTCTACACAGCATGCAGCACAGGGGTGTCCCGTCCCTGACCAAAGCATCCCAGAATTGCTGCTGCTACAAGCCATGCCATTCCTCTTTGTGCCACAGCATCGAAACCCCAGGGGCTGGGTTTGCTGGGGAGGGGGGTGCTGGCCTGGGACACCCAGGTTAGCGTTATGCAAGCTGGCAGGAGAACAGCAAACAGCAGGGCTGCGATTGCACCCGGGCTAATTCAAGGAGAAAATGATGTCACTTCGTGCGCAGGGTTTGCCAATGTGGTTATTACTGCTTTTTCAGATCCCAAGCAGCAGCGTTACCTGATATTTCCTGTCACGCTGTGCCTTGTACTGCCTGCTCCGATGCAAAGCGCCAGTTGCAAGTCGTGTTGACTTTTGCGAGGACATCCTACCCTTTGATTGCCACGAGTCTTGCTTAGGGGCCAGGAGTTGGGTGGAAGGACTCCAAAACCAACATGACCTCCGTTTGGCTAGGGGAGGGACCCGGCTCCTGCAGCACAGACATACCCTGAAATGATGAAATGATGGCAGATCTTGGATCTGCTGAGCAGCCCTTGACCTTCTGTGGGAAGAGCTGGCGTTCGGCGTGGGGTAGAAGAGGGGGTGATGCACGTTGATGGGTTACTTCATGCCAGGGGACATGGGGCTTTGCAGGGTACGTGTAGTGGTTCATGCACTGTGCAGCAGAGGATAGTGATCCATATATCTCCAGGATGTGGGGAGCCAGAGCTCAAACCAACCACAGCCATAGCCCCCTCGTACAAGTTGGGCATCAGTCAGGTGCGGTTCTTTGGGAATCACCCATCCCACGATTTCAGTGGGAGATGACCAGTGTCATCTCTGAAAATTTCATTTTGTGCCTCAGTTCCTCAGCTGTAAAACGGGGAACAATTCCTTTCTGGGGATATTCACTGTTGGTTTTTTTATTGTGGCACACAGGTTACACTATGGTGGTAAGACTGGTATGAGTAACATTAAAACTACAGAACACTGACTGGTCTTGCAGCATTACCACTCCGCTTTACATTAAAACACTCTATTCTTGCCAAGGATGTGGGGCAAAGTTTGTCTCCTTGGTTGTGGTAATCGAGGAGTAAGAAGAGCTGCTGTAATATCTGAGGCAAGACTGTTTATTGTTAGTACCATGGGATTAAGCTGCAAAAGTCCAGACCATTCTTAATTGCAAATTTGTGGAAGGAACTCTCCTTCAAGTAGTCCGATAAAACTTCTGTCTATTCCACATCTTCTGATGATAACTTTTAAATAGAATTTTAAAAAATTGTTGGTAGTTTCAGCATTGGAAGTCTGCAAAGGGAGTGAAAAATGGATTGGACATCATCCATGTTTATGAGCGCTTCAAATGGAATGCTTGGTTTTGATATCTGATGGCCTCAGTTACCCCTGGACATAAAACCTGAGGTCAGTCAGGAGCATTATTAAGGACAAATATCTGCCCTGTATGTCTGGAGCCATCAGTAGTATCAATACACCTGGGAAGAGCAATCCCAGGGAGTGCCAATTAACGTTTTAAGGGGAAGGAATGAGGGGCTGAGTTCATCTAGGTGAAAACACCACATTATTAATAAACGGTCTGATCTTCTGGCTAATAAAATTGTCTGGTTTGCTTTTTTTGTTTTATTTTTTATTAAGAACCGTTAAGAGGTTCTTAAGATGATAGTAAAATCCCCTAAGTATAAATAAAATGAGGATGCCGAAGTTGTTGCACCATCCCGTTTGGATAGTAGGTTTATGGTCGAATCTTTACAAAGTCTGGATTTTTGCTTAGAGCAATTTTCCTTTTAGCTTTAATTGGGATTTTTTTCCTCTAGGTCTCCTGTTGTTCATCTGCTGAATGCAGATCCTCTGTAAACATGAGTTTTTGGGAGTTTGACAGCCAAGGAGAAAACTCCAAGCTATTTGGAACACCACGGTGTTGTCTGGATCCTCTTCTCTTCATTAGCCACTTGATCCTTGGCGAGGACTTTTGCTCATTGACATGGTAGCTCTGGGGTTGACGGCTGCTCCAGCCCACGTTAGACCTCAAGTTCTCATCATCCGGGTTCCCCTCCCCGGTGTGGATGGGAACCTGGCCATTGTGCGGGACATCTCTGTGCTCATGGGTGGCTGACCCAAACCCGATGGTGATTGCACTCTGTTTCCTGGGTAAAAGCTGATGCTGTGAGGCTGTGCTAAGGGGAACGGCTGATGAGAGTGCACAGCAGCGATTGCAGACCCCTGATGAGACGGGTTGTGTAACAGGTAGAAGTATTTCAAGATGCATCATGTTTCCTTTACATTATTCTGTGAGGGCATAGCCCCATTACGTTGGGTTTTTTTTTCCCTATAAATATTGCTGTTGGCCACTGTCTGAAACAAGGTACTGCCCAAGTTCAACCTTTGATCTGACCTGATCGCACCTGTGGGCTTAAATACCCTTTTTTGATCACGTGCTTGATAAAGAAAATACTATTTTTGTTACCAATCACGCCAGAACTGTCTGGCAGTGCCGTTCCCTCTTGCAGCAGCTCTGTGTACACAGACCATCAGTTTATTCTGTTAAATCGTTATTTGTTGTTTCAGAACTCTGTAAATACGATGGAGTTAAATCCATTATTTTAAAATCTTACTTGGATCGGCAGTTCATGCTGAAAATGCCCAGCAATCCTACGTGTGGTGGCTTTTTTTGGGGGTCTGGTACTAGGTGATGTTCCCCCCTGTGCAAGGCACTTCCCATGGATGCTATGGAATACTCTGTCTTGCCCCTAATGGTTTTTTGGGTTTAGGTTAAGACTAGTAGTACTCCAGGCAGACAAACCTCGTTCTTATTTTCGGAAAGGTTTAGTTAAGTTATTGCTGGGACTATGAGAGCCAGATCTGTGCAGTTTTGCATCCATCCCAGTGTGGGGAGGACAGTTCCGGAAGCCAAACACCATGGGTAAAAATAATACTATAGCACGGAAAGGAATCTCAGTCCGTGTGTCCTTGGTCACTGACTTCTACCATCACGTCTGAAACGTATTTTTTTTTTCCATTTTTAACAATTTCCCATAAGCTTTCCAGCATCTTCCAAGAGCCACTACTACAGTGGTGCTTACATAATGGCCAAATTTCAAAATGTAGTCCAGGTGTTCGTGTTGCAACACCTGGAGCCAGACTGTCACGAGGCTGGCATACCCAGGATTCTCACGCTTGTTAGGAAATGAATGCCAACGTTTTACTGAAAAACATTTTGAAAACCTGGTCCTTGTGTGATGGTACCCCTGTCTAAAGGTGGTACTACAGTGCAGGCCTTTCCCAAATTCCTCCAGGTGCATCTCCTGATCCTGCTCGGGAGGTTTGTATGTCCGGGTGATCACAGGCAGTCGATATTACTGTTTACTTGTTCATCCTTGGAGCGCCCTGCGGGCACTGCTGATGGGATTTGTCTGACCACACAGACCTGCTACGCGTGGTGTCTGAGTCATCTCATCCTGAAATAGGGAGCTGAGAGAGAGAAGTTGCATCCTAAAACCACTCCCTTCTCCGCACCAAATGCGGAGACACTCCAGGGAGCTAATTAGACCATAGTTATTTCCAACCATGCTCCTTTAATTTCTCCCCCACTGTGCATTTTCTTCTTTTTCCGGGTGTCCATTTGTTTTTTCCTTTTAATCACGCTTTCCCCCTCCCTCTTTCATTTTCTGTATATCCTTTTCCCGTTCAGGAGCCGCCAAGCCGGCAGCGTGGGCGGCTGGGGAAGCCCTGCATGCTGATGTAAACCAGCCTACGCGGTGGGAACCGGCTGGCGTGGGTTTTGGTGCTGGGCTGATGGAGCTGGGCAGCGCAGGCTGTCTCCGGATGAACAGAAAAACGTCCCACTGGCACCTTCCGAGGAAAGCGCTTGGTCCTTGACTTCTGGAATAGGGCAATAACATAAGGAGTGCTTGCTTGTAGCTTTCCTCAGCCCTACCATACCCTGGTATAAAAGGGTCCTCTCTTTTAAAAGCTGCTTCGCAGTCATTAGCTGGAAAAATCCTAAATAAAGCCTACAGTAAAACTTCTGTTGGCTCCAATGTAGGAGACTCAGTTCTAAACTTGAATGTGTTGACTAAATGCAACGTAGCATCTGGTGTGTAAAATGATTGTGACAATTCACGTATTTTGAAATGGTCATTACTGTAAATTGAGTAATTGGAAAAGATGCTAGGATGCTGTGAACAGACAAGAGATTGTGTCTACATTTAGAAAAAAATACATACCAGGCTGATAATACGGTCAATTCAGAGATTAGGGAGAAACAGTAATTATAAGAGCTATCGCAGCTTTTTACTGTGTGGTGAGGGAGCAGAGCTCCTCCCTGTGCTTTCTGTAGTAGCATGCCCCTGTGAAGGAAAAATGGACTAGGATAACAAGAAAAGGATCTGTTAGCATCTCTGGTGTGTTGACGTTAAAGCTGGGAACACAGATTTTGACCTCAGGCTTTCCAAATGCTCTTTGTGCCTTGACAGTCCCTGTGACTTCAGCTGTCGTGGTGTCACAGTATCATAGAATGGTTTGGGTTGGAAGGGACCTTAAAGATCATCTAGTCCCACCCCCCCTGCCATGGGCAGGGACACCTTGCACTAGACCAGGTTGCTCCCAGCCTCATCCAGCCTGGCCTTGGACACTCCCAGGGATGGGACATCCACAGCTTCTCTGGGCAACCTGTCCCAGTGCTTCACCACCCTCTCCAGGAAGAACTTCTTCCTGATATCCAATCTAAACCTCCCCACTTTCAATTTAAACCCGTCACCCCTTGTCCTGTCACTACAGACCCTTGTAAAAAGTCCCCCCCAGCTTCCTTGTAGGCCCTTCAGGCACTGGAAGGCTGCAGTAAGGTCATGGAGCATCTTCCCTAGTGAAATGCTGATGGCTTCAGGGTGACCCTGCAAGTGTAAGATACTGAGGGGGGGGTCCTTTGGTTTGTCTGGATGAACTTGGAGTATGGCGAGCAGTTTTGAATTGCATCCATTAAAATGGTGTATACAATTGAGGGAGGCTGTTGGCAGACCACAAGTATCTCACCTACGCTTTTCTTTTATGATTATTGCATTTTTGTCTTCATGGGCTGTGTCCTGATGACCTTAGTTATGATGCATATATATTGCTGGCTGAGAGTAGGTCCCTTTCCATTAAACCAGGTCGTGTTGTATGTGTTTACAGGAACATGAGTTTGGCTTCAGACATCTTTAACCCATTAGCCTTGTTTAAATTTTGAAGAACGAGTCTTGACTGGGTGGAATTTCAAGTAGCTTGTGTGTTGTTGAAATAGCTGTGTGTCTTGAAGGAGGGACGCTTGTGTCCACTGCATTACCATGGGGAGTTTACGGCTTTTCAGTATCTCTCTGCCCTTTGCTAAGGTCTGGGCTGAATCCCGCAGTCACATTCTTGGTGAGTTAGATGCTTCAGTGACAGAAAGCTCTATAATGTAGCATCTCTAACGACAGGAGGGATGCCTTGAGTGTGGTGGATCTGCACAGCTACCAGACCACCCCCGAGAGCTGCCCGAGGCCATTGCAACTCCACGTCTTGCCAGATTAGAATGACCATTTCCACTGACTTTAAGATGAGGTCTCTCTTCTTATCTCCTACGTCCTGTATGACATTAAAAGAAAGCAAGACTCTGATTCCCAGCACTTTTGAGAACCTCGCATTGCACGTACAGTAATTCAAAGCACATCAGACATTCATAGAATCATGGAATGGTTTGGGCTGGAAGGGAACTTAAAGACCATCTAGTTCCAACCCCCCTGCCATGGGAGGGTTAAACCATGCTGTCATTAAACCACGACAGCAGGGACACCTTCCACTACACCAGGCTGCTCAAAGCCACATCCAGCCTGGCCTTGAACACTTCCAGGGATGGGGCATTAACTTGGTACTTGCATTTTCCCTGGTTGCTGGATGAAATTCTGCTCCTTGAGTGGCAGCCAGCCGGTGAGGCAACCGGCACAGCCTCCCTGTCACCCAGGTTGCACAAGGCTGATGTCAGGGTGGGTTGCCTCGGCTTTGCTGTTGCTGGAGTAGCATCCCAGGGCTGAACTCTTGCCCCGTGCCACACAGAAGCAACCACGGCTGCAGTCAGTGAACTGGCCACTGGTGCCAGGGTGGCCTGTCGTGACTTCTGGGGCCATGAGCCACCGCGGTGGAGCAGAAGGGACTGACTGAGGCAACAAATCGTCAGGCTGCTCCAGCTGTCTTGCCCAGAGGCTGCCTGTGTGGCTTTCCTGAAAGGAATCCTGGAGACAGCGTGGCGTGGAGGTGACGTGTCCGTTGGTACTCAGGATCCATACGAGCACGTATGCTGAGGTGCTCCTGTGCCCAAAATGCTACACCCATGCAGGTTCCCTTCTAGCTGCGTGAGCAGGGATGAACGCTCCAAGTTGTGCGTTACGCCAACATTCTTCTCCAACTGGACCTCGTGGTTTGCTATAATGCCCGGCCGTCTGGTCCCTAGACCATCCTGCACGACCTGCTTTGCTCAAAGAGTGCGTAAGGCACCCATCCAGAGAACTGCAGGCTTCCAAGGACCTTCCCTATTAAATCCCTGTCTGGGATTTGTCCGAGTCAGCGGGAGACATACCTGGGACTTGAATGGGAAAAGGATGTAAATTTGAGTGCAGGAGTGGCGTAGCTGTGATTCAGGCAGATGCAAGTGCTGCTGAAGGTGGAATAGGCTGGGGGACATCCCCCCGGGATGCTTCCTGCAGAAATGCTTATGAAGAAGGATGTAAATGCAGGATGTGGCTGTGGAGTAAATAGTAATATGTGGGGGATGAGTAGAAAGCATGAAGATTAAACTGAAAAGGGCTTGTTTCCCAGAGACTGGCTCATGTGCAATCCTCCCTGTGCAAGGGCTCCTCTTCCAGGGTAAAACTGCCCGTCTCCAGTGTTGAACCAGTTGATGTGGGAAGGGGTTTGGGTGCCGTCTGCCGTGGTCCGGGCTGTGTGCTGGAGAAAGCCTTATGGAACAGAAAGGGGAAAGAAATGTCAGTTCTAGCCTGCGTGTTGACTCATCGGAGACATTCTGAAGGTTACGGATATATGTTAAGCAGGTATTAAATAGCTTTTGCTTTATACATATCATTTACAAAAGCAAGTATCCGCTTCAGGGCGCCAGAGTGAATAAGAATATGAGTTAATTAGTGTCTGCATTTTCAAAGTGGTAGGAAAACAGGATTTAGATGAGAAAAACTTCCAATAAGTTCTCTGGTGACTTGAAAACTGGTGACTTTGGTAAAACCTCTTGGCCTCATACTTTGGATTTTCTTCCCATGCACTGCTTTCTGCAGCTGTGTCCATTGGACTCGGTGTAGTCGTTTGGGATTTGTGTGACCCCAGAGAGGAGAAGTTCCAACCTGCTCACCCGTGGCTGTCTGCGGAGGGGCAGGTCCGCCCATGATGGGGGTGCATCGTAGGGGTACTGGGCCCTAAGTCACTGGTTTTGCAGAGCGATGCAGGAGGATGAGCAGGACCACAGGCTAATTTGTAAACAGGCCTCGCGGGGTGTTTCATGGCCGGCAGAGTGACCGGGCTAATCCTGCAACCCTGCAGCCTTTATCACGGTGCCTGGCAGAGCAGCACGGCTGACACCCTCTGCTTTACCATATTTCCACATTCCCATCTCCGGCTTTTTCAGCATGGCACAGGTTTATTTTCCTTTCCCAGACTTCAGGATGGAAGAAATCCGCGTTAAGGCCTTCCCCGAAGCAGTACGAAAACGCGGAGGCCCCCTTGCAAAAGGGAAGGACCTCTGTGCCGTCCAGTTTCTTGGGGACGCGACTTTGCGCCGTGAACAGCCTCGCGGTGCGTTCAGAGATGCTCGCCTGACTCTGCGAGGTTTGCTGACTCACTCTTGCGCTGCCTTTTTCCTTCTTGTTCCCTGGATGCGTTGATTTTTATCACTGTTACAAGGGCTGTGCCCTGGACACGGTATGATCGGCGTGTTTGGCTCCCGGGGTGGTGGGAGCTCTCTATGCTTGGGTGCGGACGTTGATATAATTCACCCCTTAGTGAATAATAGCAACAAAATAGAGGGAGTCTGAACCCCCTCCATGCATGAGGGAGGGCTCTCAGACGCTGCTTTTGGGACAGGGCCATCCCCAGCATCACTGCCTGGGACTGTGCACCACCAGCTGCTTCTGTTCTTACTGTCTGGTCAGGTCCTGCCCCCCAACGCTATTTTGACCCACTGATTTAAATTTAAATGTAAAAGGCACCACACAGGCAGCCTGTGTCTGGAAGTGAGACAGCGGAGCTTCTCCAGGAGGAGGGTGAGTGATCAAAGGCCCCGTGTACCACCCCCCTTGCTCACAGGGTGATGCTGGAAGGGCTTCATCCGTCTCCTCTCCGGGTGAGCTGCAGCAGCCCGGCGCCCTCCCAGCCCTGCTTGCTTTCCCGCTTTGATCTGTCACCCGGAGCCGTGAAGCATCCGTGTCTTTTGCCACTTCAAGGAGTGTCTGTTCTTGATGTGAGATGCTCAGGTGCTCGGAGGTACGGCTTGTTTCCTGCATGTCTTCCCAAATACCAGTGGTACTCTGGTCTCGGGTGACACTCCCAAAATCTATGAGGATCCAGGTTAGCATGCAAGGACAATCATATCTTTAGGTTTTTACCCTGTACAGCCCAGGCTCCTAAATTTTGTCTGTGGGTATCCCAGATGGTTGTGACTGTCTTGTCTTCTCAGTCTCTTCTAAACAGGTCACCTCACCTCTTGTCCAGCTTGCTTAGGGCAAGTTTGAAGCCCATCTCATTAAGTTGCTGTCACTCTGTTCTCTTTCTTTTGAATCAGATGATGTCCAATGTTTTCCCAGCAATCTTCATGCAAAGAATGACATTCCATGGCTAATTACCAGGGAACTAATTAGCAGGCAACTTCTTCCTTCATGGCTCAGAGAGGGTTATGTACGCATTCCCAGGGGGTCGTACCTTGCAGCGGCATTGCTGTGAATGGAAACTGCTTTTTCCCTCATGTCTTTTCCTCATTATCAGTTTTGGGTCAGGCTGGGATCAGGCAGACAGTGCTCCCCAATATCACCAAGCAGAATCCAGCACTGACAGTGCCTTGGAAGCCCCCCCGGATTGAAATGCCGGCTCTGCACAGCCGTGGCAGCTGAACAGAACCACCCTTAAAGCTCTGCTTTAGGGAACGTCAGCCTGGAAAGGGCTGCCTTTTTGGTTCTTTTTAGGCACTATTGATTTTTTTTCTTTTTTTTTTTTTTTCAGGCTAAACAATATTTATGGCATTTCTTACTGCAGGACTCAGCATTCCAAGTTCAGTGAGATCAGTGATGATTAGCAGTCACAAACAGAAAATCCAGGTTTGAAAATCTTGGCATTTTTGATTGTGACAGTTTTAAGTGCTGGAGGGCTTTAAACACACAGCTTCTTCTGGTGTCTTCTTAGCTGTTTCTTCGTAGTGGAAATGACTGTCGGCTTCTTGAACCAAGCTCCAAGAGCGCTCCAGGCACTTCAGTGGCAATACTAAGGGTTTGTCACTAGGCTTTACTCACTTTTTGATTTGTATTTTTGTCAATGGAAAATGGAATCCAGGACTTTGCCACCCAGCTTTCCAATGCCCTCTTCTACAGAGCCGAGGAGGAGGCTTCGTTGCCTTCCCCGAGTACCCTTGCCTTGGAAACCCTAAGCCTGCTCCCACCCTGGTTGGCCCTTTGTGCCATATCCCCACCCGAAACTGGCCACTTGGCTTTTTTCCTTAAGAGAAGAGAAGAGATTTGTACCTCTGGAAGATGCTTTGGGCTGTGGGCAGCGTCAAGGAAATATCCATATATTAGTTATATGGATACTTAGGCCGGATTTTCCAGTTGTTTGTTTTACAAGCCTGCAGAGACATCTTAATGCAGTCAGAGGTTATTAAGTCTAAGTTGTTAAGTTTATTTTAATGACTTTAATAGACCTTTAGCATTCATGTTTAATCCAGTACTACTTACTGGACTACACAGCATGTTGACACTTTCAAAAAGCTTCAGGCTTGGCAGCTCTCCGAAAGAGTACTTGTATTTCCCAGGTACTTGGATGAATTTCTCCTGCACTTGGACTAAAACGTGAAACCACCAGCAGAAGGGAGCCTGATGCTGGAGTTTAAGCAGCATCACTGGCTTTGAAAGGGTGTTTGTACGCGGCTGCCAGGCAGAGGCATGGGGTGGAAGGCTGATAGAGTGAAACGGATTTGGTTTGGTGCAAATCGGGCATAAAACATTGTGCCAGCCAAGGAAGTCTCAGAAGCTGCCCAGCAGACCATGCGACCGTGTTCACTGGGATGAAGCCTAGCTCAGGATGCTTCCAGCCCTCTTCAGATTCCAGGGAGAAATCTACCTTCCTGCTGCTTACGGCACAACAGAATAAGTGTCATCCACTTTATTCTGTATTGCTTGAGCGTCTTTTCTTTTGGCATTGGAGTGCTTCTCCAGCAATTCCGTTGCAAAGTTTCTGGACTACATTAACGTTTAATCTGCCCTCTGCTAGCTGGCAGTTTCTATCCTGATTTGCAGTGATTAAAAATTAATCTAGCTAGGATTTGGTGGTACTCCAGGATTCGGGCATTCGGATCTTGTAAGTCAGGTTTTAAACTAAATGCACATCACACGCACATCTGCCTTATTTAAACCATAGAATCAGTGTTCCATCTTTAAAGATAATTCATGATTTCCTGGTTGATTCAGCATTGCAGGTGTATCACTGCAGCTGAACGAGCAGAGAGCATCTTCCAATTGACTACTCATCCCTTTGGAGGGATCTCTTGTGGTTGGTGTCAGAACCATGTGCAAAAGGAGCTTCTAAGACTGTGGCTGCTACGTTTTTGCTGTTGTGTTTCAGGAAGCAAACCCAGCACTTCTGGCTTTTGCTGAGGCAAAGCATCCACTAATGCCATAGGTCAAGTTCTGTTCTTTGCCGTGAGCAGCCATAGAAGAATGCTAACTTGAGGAGAGGTTCAAAGCCATAGAAAGACTTGATTCTCTTCCAGAGATAATCCGTATGCGATTTTCCTAAATATTTTGTCATGGGTTTCTGTCTCTTGTTTTCTTAAGTGCATGTTGGCACTAAATGCCTGCCGACCTTCCTTGGATCAGCTTTCATCACCTAATAACTTGAGGTAATGTGTGCAAATCCTAGGATTTACATATTTGACTGATTTATGAGTAAACATCTCACACTCTGTTTAAATCTGCTTGAGTCCAAAGAGATGCTGATGTGGATACCCCGTGGATGTATTGCAGTCATATTGCAGGTACTTGGACACGACAGGTTTTGTTCATCAACTCTTCCCCAGCTATGACAAAATGCTTTTGCACCTAATGGAAGCACCGGTTTGGGTATTTTCCATCAGATCTGTGCAGTTTTTGCGGAAGTTGGGCTAAACCTGTTCTTCTGCAAATATTAACACAGTTGGGGTTTGTTTTTTTTTTTTTTAACAAGTATACTGTAATTAGGATGCCTCTCAATTCTTCCTGGCAGTGTATTAGCTCATGAAGGGCTACAGCATTTTCACTGGTATATGATGAAACCTGCGTAACCAGAGCTGGAGTCTGCAGTTCCCAGTGGCGGTGCTCCATCCGCAGGACTTCTTTATCATGCTCCACAACTTTTTCAGGGTATGATATGTTTAGTTTAAAACATCTTTTGATTTTTTTTGGCTTTTAAACAAAAGCAATGAACTCTTCTCTAAGTGTCCAGGGCTCTGCAGAGAGAGGTGTCCCGTCACACCGTTAGGTAACTGTTTTGTGAAATAGCTTATCCCAGTAGACGTATTTCTAATTCAAGTTAGGTAGATATCTGTGTGTGTATTTGGACTCCTCACCAAAGGTTAATGTGTTATCCAGTAGGCTGTAGTCACAAGAATGCCAACAACATATTTTTATCACTCTTCAGTAGAAAGTAGCACTGTGGTCCTGTGTGAAATGCTATCCTTTCGCTGCTTCCAGGATGAAGATCCAGCACATCTACATGCACAAAGTGAAAGATTTAGGCCCAGGTTTCAACTATATTAGAGTTTTTGAATATTGAAAATCTTCGCTTTTGGTTCTTAGTCATCTCTGACAGTGAATGTGAACTGGATCTAAAACCCCAACATGTTGGACCTTTTAAGGTTCGTTTCACTGGATTCAGAGAAGGTTTCATTTCAAATCTTCCAGGGTTCCTTCTTCCAAGTGAAATGTAGAACAGCAACTTTACGGTTCTTTCCTATACCATTTTATTCTGTAACTTCTCCAGCAATATATTAGGACACTACTTTTAGTGTCACTTGAGTAACCATCCTAAGTCTGATAAGCAGTTAATGTAGGAGCCCTAAACCAGTTCTTAAACCTGTGCCATTGTAGCGATGCGGGCTGTTAGTAGCAAAGTTTTCAGACTTTGCTAGTAGCAAAGTTTTCAGCAGTTCAATTTAAGGCTTTTCTGCAGGTCAATTCCTTGGTCAGGACCAAGTTTTAAGTCAAACAAGTAGGAAGTGAAGCGTGAAGTACAGACTACCAGAAGCAAAAAAGCACAAGACTATTTCAGGTTTTAATGAGATGTGAAATGTTCTCACCTTGCAGAAAAAGCTCTCTGAAGAAAGATCACCATTGCCTTTAGGTTATTCTGTGGGTAGAGTCATTTTTTCTCTACTAAGAGTTAATCTCTAATGCAATTACTGTTCAGTTATAAAATAATTATTTTACTTGAGACACCAAGGCTTTCTTATTTAGTACTTCTTTTTGGTCTCCATGGATGGGACCGTAGTAGCTGTCCTAGCCATACAACAGGCATAGCAGACCAAATGTAGGTGCAGGTGTCTTTTCTCAAAGCAA